AACCCCCCTCAAATTTCTTCCTCTGGTACGACCTCTCCCTCCTCAATGTTACTATACTTACAGGATAAGAAACCCCCCTCAAATTTCTTCCTCTGGTACGACCTCTCCCTCCTCAATGTTACTATACTTACAGGATAAGAAACCCCCCTCAAATTTCTTCCTCTGGTACGACCTCTCCCTCCTCAATGTTACTATACTTACAGGATAAGAAACCCCCCTCAAATTTCTTCCTCTGGTACGACCTCTCCCTCCTCAATGTTACTAAACTCTCCTACCTTCCTAACTTCTCGGAGTTTTCCCGAGAATTCTGCTATTTTTCCAAAAAAGATCTGGGGAAAAGAGGCAAAAGCTGAGAAGAATATTTGAGTATGGAGGGGAGGTCATAACACACCTGAAACAGGGAAAACCGAGAAAAGTCAACAACCGAAAATATTTTACTTCAAAGCAGTTGCGATTCACCCTCCAGCGACCAACTAGGACCGCTGGAGATCACCAACGTACGACGTGCCCTGACTGGCACTGAAGTCAGTATAAACGTCGCTTGGTGTGGTGTCTGTTATTGAGCAGGTTCCATTACACTGATCGTGTAAATACCATGCGGCACCCTTGTTCATTCCGCTGTCTGCATAAGCCCATAGTTTGATATTGAACACTATGAAGTTTCTCCTTAAAAATTACATACTTTCTCTCTAAATAACCTCTTCCTTCCAGCTGGTGGCCGATGCGCGTTCTTCGGCACGCCACGTGAATGTATAGACTTCTTCGAGCAGTGCGGTCATCCTTGTCCTCATAACTACAATCCTGCCGATCTGATTATTCATACTCTGGCGGTTGCCCCACATGAAGAAGAAGCTTGTCGCACGCGAATCACTACCATATGTGACCGTTTTGAGAGCGGGTAAGTATCAGCAGCAGACAGATCCAATGTACATGTATGGCATTTCTGTTACAGACCCTACGGAATGGCGCTAAATGCTGACCTCGACAAAGTGACAGCCGCCCCAGTACCACCTGGACGTCGAAGAGTTAATTTTGGTATCCAAGTTGCCGCTCTTCTCCATAGGTTGGTTGGTGGCGTGCCTCTCTCATAGAGAAGACGCAAAATCAAACCAATTTCGTATAGTTCAGGTACTTTTTGGATAACCTGAGGAATCCTACACTGGCCAGGGCGAAGTTCCTGCAAAAGTTCGTGATGGGCCTTTTCGTTGGACTTCTGTACCTTCGGGTTTGTTTTACTGACTTTCTTGGGCCCAGTTCGGCTCGATGGGGCACCGAACCGTGTTCAGCTAAGATTGTGCTGGTCACATTGTGAAGACCTGCAAATTCCTGTGACCAAAGTCACTCGAACACTTTCGCACCTTCACAGGTATTCACGGGTCCGACCCAAGTGATACGTGTTACTTAACATTAGCTAACGAAAGGGACTGGCGAAAGTGCAAAATGCACCCTCCAAGCCGAACAGTTCTTTCTTTTATGTTCTGCAGTGTACATATCCACTGTTTAGACTCCCTTGACATATATCGGTATTGGCAACATCAACGGAGCACTGTTCTACCTCGTTTGCGAATTAACGTACGCTTCTTTGTTCGGAATTCTTACTTGCATTCCGGGTGATTACCCACTGGTGGTAAGAGAATACCACGATGGGATATACTACGTGATGAGGTGAGATCTTGCTCGCACCCTATCTTCCTCTGCATACCTTGTTGGCTTGATTTGCCCTTTTGCAGCTACTTCATAGCACGTACGCTCTCGTACCTGCCCTTGTTCAGTCTCGATGGTCTTTTGATGATTTATGTTTGCTACTGGATGGTCGGTTTCTCCAGCTCTGTCGTACAGGTACTGAAAAGCTGCCCTCTTCTTTTTTTGTCTTTATAGCTACTTATGACTTTTACGATTTCTTGTTGTTTTCGTGACTCTGGATTCCCCTTTCCCCCCTAGGTTGTTAGAACAGCAATTTGATTGACGCACTTTAACTCATTCGGTAGGCCTTAGCTGATCAACGCGCTATTCTCTGCAAGGTGAACCTTAAAGGTGAACCTTAACAGTCTTTCCGTTGTGTGACGGCCCATCCTTTCCTTTTATTCTATTAAGAACAAACGGTACACTCTCTTTCAAAGACGGAGCTTTCCATGTGCAAAGTGAATGGGTCCGCAGCTGCAACAGCGGGCCTCTCTCCGCCCATAAGTGCACGAGAAGGGAGCTGGAGGTAAGGGGTACCCGTGTGCCGTCCTTCTCCAACTATCACCTCTTGAAACCACCGTCCTGCTGTTACTACTACAAGTGCTGTGAATTACTACCCTCCCCCCCGTCCCCCGTCTAATGCTCGTATAAGAACTTATCAGATGTTAGCACCGCTCACCAGTGATGTTCCTGTCCTTCTCGTGTGTCAGGTCTTCGCAGCCCAACGTCCCACTGCTACTAACAAGGAGGAAAGTCCGTTCAGGGCATGCCCCCTTTTTCAAAATTGATTCTTGCACTTTGTAGGGCTTGCCGTAACGCCATGAAAAGTGAGCTTCAATTTCGCTGACGCGGCCGCCTGAAAGTATGCCAAAAAAGGCGCGAAAAAAAGAAATCTATGGGAACTGATTATTTCGGGAGCTTACGGCTCTAGACAGCTTGAAACTTTGACAGTTGCTGTGTGGAGGGTGTCCCTGAAGGACTCGTTGGAAGCGAGAAGTAGATGGGGTATGGAGGCTTACTTGTGGCAGCGTACAATGATGTGTTAAGGAGGTAGGTGAAGTGAAACAGCTCATCGTGAAGTGGTGGGACGTTAAACGATCGAGGAGCAGTATTGGCAGCAACAAAGATCGGATGGCCCCTATATGGATAGCGGGAGGTTCTCAGATTGGACAGTGGGGTGGGGTGCTGGTTCGACTCGCCCCGGGTGTTGGCCCTTATTGCAGTTTTTGAAGTTTTGCTGTCTTCCCGTCGAAATAAGTCTGTGCGTGAGTAAATGAGTTCGATAACTGCCATTTATGGGCACATTTTAAATGGGAACACTCCATGAATCAGTGCTATTCAATTATTACAGGTTTTACATACCATTAAGCAAGACCGTAATTGAAAGTTGACCTTTATAGGTCAGACCATGCCCGAATCACGAATATGGAACTTATTTGTAGCATAGGTGCCATTTCTCGCTAATATGGAGCTCATGCCTTTGATGAATCGCGTTGGGTACACACAAATAAGGGACGTGTAGCGACACCAAGCGCATATTAACGTCGGCGCCGGATGTAAGGCCAAATCGTGATCGGGGCCTATCGATTGCCCCTGCATACCTTTCGGCCAAAAAATTTTTCGACTTTTTTTGGGTCTGTGTGCGTTGGGTTGTTGGCCCCGACAGTCCTTCCTAGTAAAGGAGTCTACAGGTGCCTCTTCCGTGAGGAGCCCCCCCCCCTATTTTATTAATATCCAAACATGAAACTAACAATATCGATGAATTCTAGCAAAGAGGAAGGAAAGGGAAGTATTCGTCCTGGTAGACTTCAAAAAAAAAGTTGAGAAATTTGAATGAGTGCAATCTCTGTTCCGGTAAGAGATTGACATCTTTATTGAGCGAGCAGGCGGCAGGTATCGGCAAAGGCCCAGAATTCCTTTTCACGGGGTGCCCGACCCACCCACACTGATCCAAGCATGAACGGACCTTGGGCGGCGCTCCGGCGAACACTCTACTCTCTGCCCGGCGTTTGCTACGCTCGTCGTTCGCATCACGTCTTTACGGCAGATGTGATACTCCGCCGGTCACCACTGCGACCAATGGTCCACCACAACTCCGAAAAAAATCGAATAAGATTTTTTCGATAGAAGCTTCGTCCATAAAGGGTAATCTTTTATCCGATTACGATTTGACTTTATTTCGACGTGACAGCAATCTGGCGCCAGTACACGCGCTTGACTCTCTCGTATGGGGTACGTAGACGTTCTTGGTCGCGTCCTTTTTTGCGTTTTGGGGCCGCTCACGAAAATGAAACACCGACGTCTGTGGTCTATGTTTCAAGCCGCTACGAATGCGAAAGAAATCATCTGAAAAAGCGGGGCACGCCCCTGAACGACTTTCCTCGTAAGACATGCCTATGGATCCGTGCATTATACAACAGAACAATACTTAACAATTTACATATAGTGGGATATTCATCCAACATTCGTTCGCTGCATATGCACACTCCTTATCCCAGAGATGCGAAGAGCGTGGCTACGTGCTCCATGGCGTACATAGTGTAGGATGCTTTTTACGTGGAATATTTGAATTGGGTGCAAGTGCGATAGATCTTATGCTCTATGTGTGTAGTGTTGGACAAAGACATGGATACGACTGTCCTAAGACGGTAGCATCTCACCGGAAATGCAGCCACCGCCACACTCGATGACAAGCTGTCCATCCGCCTCTGTGGATCTTTTTCCTTGCCGTATGCAGAGTGAAAGGGTCCGCAGATGCCACTTTTTCAGCTCAAAAGTGCACGGAACAGGGCCACAAGGTAGCGAGGCCCGGGTACCTTTCCCATACTCCGCCTACTTGCCGCATGGCCAGTCACACGCCTAACCGTAGCCAAACGCGCCACATGTTCGCGCCCTCTCCACTTCTGGTTATTCTCTACCGCTGAGGCGTGTTCGCTTCAGGGTCTGGTATCTGCCCAGGCGCTGCACATTGAAAACCCGTCTTCAGAGCTGAGTGTGCAGTTTGTTTCAAAATGAAGTGCACAATCACGCCCTCCTCTCCTCGGTGATTCGCGATATAACGATGTTAGAAGATTACGCACTCATCTCCATTCAGTTCGAGGCTAGTTGTTACTCATATTTACAGGTGCTCTTTGCGACGCTCATCAGTTTCCTTATCGAACAATCGTCATGCGCCTTCGGTATGATGCTCGCATGCATCTCACCTTCTTATCCGGTATAGTAGTCTGTGATCGCTTGTGTACAGTCGTGATCCTTGTAATCGACAGGGCGTGTGACGTGGACTGGGCCAGGGCGGCCTTTTCCCGCCAATGATGCAATCCTGGGTCTGCTACAATTGGTGGGAATCAATCACGGTTGCGCTTTAAGCCACGCCCCCGTCACACGTCTTGTCGTTTGAAGGGATCATGACCGTACGTCTCATGCCGCATATACGCTATTGGGGATTTTTTTTCAGGTGGCAGCATCGGTAGCTGGCCCTATTCTCACGCTGCTTTCACTTACGGGTGGATTATATGCGAACGTTGGCTCACTGCCGACCTACATCGGTTGGATACAGTATCTCAGTTGGTTCAGGTACGAATGTGACCGTTTTATCACGCTATAAGTGTCAGCAATCATTCCCTTTGCTCAGATATGGGTTCGAAGCCTTGGCTATTAACCAATGGACTGAAGTCAACAATGCGAATTCCACCGTTTGGAACGATCAGGTAGTGAAGATTACCGCAGTTTTTTTCCTTTCATACTTATGCGATTGTCCGGCAACTAATCCACGTTCCGGCCTCGATTTTCAGAAAGAAAATATTTTAGCAGGATGCTGGGGCGTGTCAGGAGGCTGGGTTTTGCGCGGCGCCTGCCTGCTTTTCGCCAATTGCTCTCGCAACTCGCTTTGACAAGTGGTGGAGAATGAGCGGGGGTCGCGCCAAACCGGGCAATGCTGACACGCCCCTGCACACTCCTTGAACAAGACTGTATGTACGTTTTTGTTCTCGAACCTCGAAGCGAGTGCAAAAAAGTAACAGTTAAAAACCTGCATTAGCTCCTTGAAAGCTTAGTACAATTCGCTGGAGCTGCTGTTCAAATTAAGCAGAATAGT